GCTCGCGAACAAGCGAACAATCATCTAAGCTTATCAAACATACATAGACTGAAGTGGTTCTTCGAAAACATTCAATAACTCGATGACAACTGTGTAAACACCAACACTAAAAGTTGGGGGCGAACTCGAAATAGAAATTTTATAGTGGGGGTGAACTCGGTGGGGGTGAACTCACCATGGGGCAAAACCGGTATCATTCTTCTGTAGAGAAGGATGAACTTCATCTCTCTGCAGCACAGGCCACATGTAGTCTTGATAATTCGATCATTTCATTTTTCAGGACTCAAGCTAGCTGGCATGAACCTACATGTCACCAAATCTAGCCTTCATTTTCTATAAAAGAAAACTCGAAAAGAAACACACTTTTCTACTTAAATATTCCAATTTATTCACATAAAATAGCTCTGTGAATACATTTTAAAGAGATCTCAGGTAGCTCTCCATAGATTTACAGATAAATTCGATAATAGCCGTGGATTTACTTTCATTGATTTTGTTCCCGGCATGCTAAGAAAAATACTACGAAATTTAAGTTACGTGGACCATGGAAAAAGAACCATCGATGATGAAAGAAAGCTAGGGGAAGTTGACAAGAAAAGTCAAAGGTTAATACAAAATCGTCGAAATATGTAGCATACGTCTCGCTTACTCTATAAACTACTATTTAATACAGTTTCGAGAAAAGTTAAACGTTTGAAAGTATTCAGTAGAGTTCAATATTTTAAGCTGATCTGATTTCCTCGCAAACATGTAAGCACCCGTTCAGTAAAATACAGTCCTTTCTGGTCCAAAATTTCTTCAAATTCAGGTTATCCCATCCTAATACTCTGGATGATCTGAAATATTGCTGTAGGAGAAAAGAAAAAGGCGTTTAATTTTAAAATAAGCGCCACAAACACGCAATCTCTCGGATACTATTCCGGTTTTCGAGCGACGCACTTCGAAAGACGAAAGAAAGACGCATGAAGTTATACATTGCAAAGATTACGATTAACTCACCGGACCCACAGACGACGAAAATGAATAATCCAAGAAGAATAGGTCCAACAGGATATTTTTCCTCTTGTGGTCTCTGAAATAGACGGGAAGACCAACATTTAAACGTTACTGTCAAAGTTTCAAGTTTCGAATGAGTTTCGTCTTTCATGGCGTATGAGGTTTTCCTTCGCGAGTTTGAAATACTACTCACCAGTGATTTGGGGACATTTCCTCTCGTCGTAACGTTCTGGCTGTGTTTTTCGTTGGCAACACGCATTCGTTGCTTGGCTGGCATTTTTGGAAGACTTCTTGATCGCTGTAAAACTGCTTCAAAATCTGTTACAACCGAACCACAACAATGCTAAATTGTAGAGGAAGACGAAGCGAACCTCACAGCATGTGACGTAAGACTTTTCCATCGCGCTGTTTGATTGGTGCTCATTCATCATGTGATACGCCAGATGAATAAACACAGCTTTTCTTTCTTCCAGCACAGACCAGAACACAGACGTACAGATTTCCCTCAAATAATTTTTCTTTGACTTCCGTTTGGTCGTAAAAATTATTGTGTCAAGCTTTTAGAAGGATGACGGGGTATTAATTCTTCAGTTTGAGAGTGTTCTTGGACAGATAATTGCGGATCAATGCCCCAAGCACGCGCGTACGTTGGCGTATCTGATTGGCTAGTTTTTACATTTGCAGGAAACCTGGGGAAGGATCCCGGAAGGGGTTGGGGAAGGGTGAGAATCGTGATGGCCTTCACGCCACAGTTGGCTTCAGTACTACAGCTACAGAACTCGTTTGCAAAATGTTACAAGATGATTTTTCTCTTCTTATTACTGTTTCATAACCAGTTTTGAGAAACAGTTAATGCAAAAGTTGTGGGGAGACTGAGTGCTAGAAGTTTTTTTATTCAGAGAGGCCCCATTACTAGGGGTGGGGGGGGGGGGGGGGGGGGGGGGTAGGTACGGAGCGGAATCTACTCCGCCCGTGTATGTAGTTCGTCCAAAAAATTTTCCTTTTATACCAACATATGACCCTAAATCATCTGGTAATTACGTCATGATTTCAAACAAGCATTATTTCGTGAGTTTAATTCGAAAAACGACAGAAAATGCCCAAAATGGCTCGAAGCGTATTTAAATCAACTTACAAACGATGCTAAATGGTCCTAAAAATGTAAAATAAAAGCACGAAAGTTCAATTCTAAGGAACCATCAAACTCTCCTACATGACTATTGCATTGCAATGACATGTCATACCAAATTCTTCCCAGATAAAGTTGAAGTAAAAAGGCAGTATGGCAGCTTTTACTTAACTATTTAAAAATTAGCACGGGGTCGTGATCGACGCAGGGATAAGCTTTTCACCGGGTCTGAACAGGGTGAGCAGGCCAATGTAAGAGAACTTATGAGAATTGTTGCCCTCTTTCGCACACTCTCATCTCCCGCCCCCCACTTCCCCCGTAAATACATAAATGCATAATCTATTTCATGCACCGTCCATAATTATGTTCCCGGGGTTTCTCGAAAGCCCCGGAAATTGTTCGGGCCCGCAAAGCCATTTTTAGTTCATCTCTACCTAGAAACGGAGAAGTGCATACGCCTGAAACTTCTTGTATGATAAGAACCTCTGTTCATTTTAAAAATACATGAATAAAACAGCTCTGTAAGCATAAGTTTCGAATTTTTCTACGACTTTCCGGGTGCAAAAACTTTTCGGGAGCTTCGAGGAACGGGCCCCAGGGCCTATCTCCCTTCCCGGCTTCTCCCCGGGAAGAGAGATTCTGGGAACCAGGCTACATCTCTTGTCAAGTTTAAGAGAAACACTAGCTACAAAACACTAAATTTCAGCGAAGCGCCATTTGAAACATGTGAAAAAACTGTAGGAAACCACTGGATAACAGCTTAAATAATGCATTGACCGCTAATTCGGGCCCAGTCTCCCGAAGAACTCAGCAGCCCTCTTTCCCAATTCCTTTGGGAGATAAAGGACTGTTATTTTTTTCTTAAAAAAAAAAAAGTAACCTTAAAACTAAAGCGAAGTTGAATTTGCATTAGTACTATAGACTACGAACAGTTGAAATCTAAGCCGCATTCAGTGGTTAATTTCCGAACTCAGTGACACAGCACATGTAAGAGGATGGTCACCCGGCTTCAATTGCTGCTTTTCTGGATTCATTGAAAATTTTAATTGTGAACTTAGACTGATCATGAAACTAGTAATAACCGGATTATATTAAGGATGGACATGGGTGCCGGGGTGCGGGGGGGGNAAGGGCCCCAATCAGCCAGTTACAACCAAACAGGGACGAGTGTGCGTTGGCGCGAAGCGCGAACTTCGCGGTATAACTGCATCCGGGACTTTCACTCACGTTGTCCAAGATGGCGGAAACAGGTGATCATACTCTGCTACTTCTTTCTCTTTTTCCTCGATCTCATTTGCAATTTGGTCCTATTTTCTATCATTACGACCGAAGAATATGTTCAATATTAAGGCTGTTTTGTCACATGTTGTATTTTTCCTCGCAGCTAAGAAAGCTAAGAAGAAAAAGGGGAAGACTCTTGCCCTAACCGAGTTCTTGGCCAAGGATGGCGAAAACGGTCCTTCTCCTGGGGCAGTATTTTCAGCCAGATCTACAAGCTGGGCCGACGAAAGTGAGAATCTTAACACTGAAGGTATGCTCGGCTCTTAACTGGGATTTTTAGTAGCAGTTGTTTTGGAAAAATAGCGTCGTATAAACGCGTGTGCATTTCAGGTCCACGCAATAGTGGTTTAACAATGGTTCATTTTAAGATCGGAGCAGTCGCCCATTTTAAGAGCGCAGCGATTTTCTTTTGTCGAGAAAGAACCGCAATTATGTGTCAATTTATTTGTTTGACCTTTAATAAATCGCTGCCGTAGACTCGTAAACCCGTCACTTGCGAACGAACTAACAGCTTTTATTTCGCTAGAAAGCAGATTGTGAAACCCTGGATGAAAACTAGCAACATAGCTTTTGTCTTTTAAGAAGGTATCGATCGTAACTTTACCGACTGTCTTTATATTCGTTTCTTGAAGTTAGACAATTGGGATCCAAACGATTTGTATCGAAAAAAGCCGCCGTATTCGCGACCGTGAGTGAGGTAAATTGTACACAAAGAAAATATCGATTTGACAAAATCGTATGACTGTCGACCACTGAGATAATTTTATTGGATGAAAGAATGAAAAGCAAGATTCGGTCCTTATGTAAGATTCAAGTATTGCAAGGGATCAATAAACACGGACATGTAACTAGTTTATGCCACATATCACGGTGCATATACTTGGCAAAGAATTGTTAGAATGTTGACTTAGTTGACTCGCATGTGCTATCTGAACGCAAAGAGATGACGTGTCTATGTAATAAGGTAATTTAGGGTCGAAACTTAACCGTAGTACCAGGATACTATTTCAAACAATAGAGTTTTGATGATGTTTCTGATTTTCAAAAAAAAAATATGAAGCAAATTTATTTTTATTTTTTGACAAAGACATGAATATTTTTATCTGGTTTCAAAATAATATAGTGTGACAGGAAATTTGCTAAAAGCAATCCCACCCTGACTGTACATGTATACACGGGGGATTCCAGTCAGTTCTACAAACAAGAAAAGTTATTATAAAACAAAACATTTTTGACTACACGTGTTATTGCATGTGCAACCCAGAAAGATGATGTGTCTATACATCTACATATTAAGTTAATTTATTGTTGGAATATAAGTTTAGGACCAGGATACTAACATTAACAATAGAGTGTTTATTATGTTTCTGGATGTCCTCAAAAAATAAGAGGCATATTTATTTTATATTTTGATAAAGATATAAATATTTTTTGGGTGATTTCAAAATAATTATTGAGGTTGCATTTCTAATACAATTTGTAGTGTTATACTTTTTAATGTTAGGGTTAGGAAAATGTTAAACGTATCTTTGATTTTGATATACTAGCTGTGGTTTATCAGTGAATTTGACTTACTTTGCTTTGCAATTCATTGACTAAGCATGTGTACTTTGTATTACATTATAATCGACTCAATACTTCATGTATTTTCCTTGAGCAGACTGAAAACTATATTTTAATTGAGGAATATAAAATATATATAATATAAAGATATTTTTTGTCTCTATTGAAACAATAGAGTGTTTCTGTCATGGAATTATCAGCTGATAGTAGCCCCACGGACGTTTTCTGTTCTTAAAACAAATATTTGCCTGAGAAGTGAAGCTTTGAGAGCAAATTTGCTAGTTTTAAGGACATCAAATTTCCAAGGGGCAACTATCAGACGGCTAGTTCTGAGGCAAAAACGCTCCATTGTCTTTATTGTTCACCACTAAATTTTCTTCTGTGTGCCGGTTCAAATATCATATTGAATTATTTTTAACTTTTTTAAATGCAAAGTGTGAATGTCAAATGTAAAATTTGAAAAAGAAAACAGACAAATTGTGTCTTTCAATTTTTTTATGTAAGCCCACTTGTTTACAGAAAAAAATTTAATGCACTATAGCTGTAGTACCATCCATCCGGTTATTTTCCTCAAACAGGTACTATTTAAGCAATAGAGTGTTTCTGTCAAGGAACTATGGGCTGATAGTTTTGATGTTCTTAAAACAAATATTTGCCCCAGAAGCATAGCTTTGAGGGTAAATATGCTAATTTTGAGAACTTCAAATTTCCAAGGGGCATCTATTTAAACAGTAGAATGTTTCTGTCAAGGAACTATCGGCTGATAGTTTTTCTGTGGAAATTTGATGTTCTTAAAACAAATATTTGCCCAAGATGCAAAGCTTCGAAGGCAAATATGCTAGTTTTAAGAACATCAAATTTCCAAGGGGCAACTATCAGACTGATAGTTCCGAGACATTAACACTCTATTGTCGTTTCTGTTCACCACTAAATTTTCTTCCGTTCGCCAGTTCAGAAATCGTATTGAATTATTTTCAACTTTGTTAGATGAAAGCCGTGAAAGCCAAATGTAAAATTTGGAAAAGAAAACAAACAAAAACCCTCTTAATACAAATTCAATTGTTTATTTTCTATAAGCCCACTTGTTTACAGAAATATTTTCATGGACAAGTACTATCCATCCGGGTATTTTCCTCGGACGGGCACTATGGGCTGATAGTGTCTCTCCGTGGGTGAACACTATCATGTCATGTGATCAATTTAAACCAGTAAGAATCAGAGAAAATTTAGTGGTGAACTATAACAGCCGATAGTTTCAACACTCTGTTGTCTCTATTGTTCACCAATAAATCTTTCAAAAATCATATTGACTTATTTCAACTTTTTTAGATGAAAGTGTGAACGTCAAATGTAAAATTTGAAAAAGAAAACAGACAAAAATCCACTTGACACAATTTCAATTGTTTATTTTCTACAAGCCCACTTGTTTACAGAAAAATTTTCATGGACGAGTACTATCCATCCGGGTATTTTCCTCGAACAGGCACTATGGGCTGATAGTGTCTCTCCGTGGATGAACACTATGGTGTCACGTGATCAATTTTAACCAGTAAGAATCAGAGAAAACTTATTGGTGAGCTACAGGTATAAAGGATGATAGTGTCTCTCCGCTGATGAACTCTATCATGTCACATGGTCACTTTTAACCAATAAGAATTGGAGAAAATTGTGGTGAACTATAGCAAGTCATAGAAAGATAAGTGGAAGTTTCGGAGAGTAAGAAAATGCTCCTGGAACTTGAGCTACCATCGAGTGTTTCCACTATACTTTTTCAAATTCTCCAACATTTTCATGAGTGTTTCTATAATGTGATAGAAATATATGTTTTTATTTAGAAAACACTGCGAGAAAGAGAAAAGTAATTCACTTGTTTATTTTGTTATTTTATTAAGTCTCTTAACCTTTGTGCCCTCACTATGTCAACAGCTCATGCTAGTTGTGCATTATCGTCGCTGACATAACACTGTCATGCTCTCAGCTCAACACTGTCTGTTTTCTGCTGCTGCCTTGGGTGCTGCATTAGTGATCATACATGAAGATCATTTGTATGTTACTTCTCAAGGTGCTAACATTTGAGGGGTGAAATGGTCATGTTATTATGTTTATCAGAATACGAACAAACAGCAGTGGAGGTTTCATTCCTGTCGTGAGATTGCTATCGAGAATGAAATATAAATAACAAAAATAGATATAAAATTGCAAAAGAGCAAGGCCACAAGAACATTTTTTACTATGGACACAAAAAAATTTCTCCTTATTTTATTGCTTACTGTTGTGTCATATCTATTCTGTGTGGCATAATATTTTTAGGATACCTTTTTGTTGAAGGATACCATTAATAGGAATCTCATATTTTATAAAAGGTCACAAAAAATACAAAATCTTGTTTTATTATTGAAAATGTGGTCTTTTTCAAAACAATTTAAGTTGCGGCAAATACACTTATGTCATTGAAGTACTGTTGAAAGCACTCATTGGAGATCAAATTCATCATGTTTTTTTTTTTTACATTTAGTGCTCTGCGCTTGTGCACTGATAAATTTATACATAGATGTGAACTTCCTTTTGTTTAGAATTATTTTGCAGTCATAGTTGTAGACCACTCTTTGTGAAATTTACTGATGAAAACTCCGTTGAGTATATACTGTCAAGTTTTCTGTTGTTGCATATCTGCTAATCAGTTTTCAGTACAATGGTTGTAAATCAAGTAAACAGTGAACAATCTTTGATGTTTGTTCAAGGGTGCATGCAGGCTGTAAGCTTATACTTTCGTGATCCATTTGAAATGACATAAAAGCTGTTGAAATAATACAATCAGTGCCTTTTTGTAATCTACGTTTTCAATATTAATGTGATTTTTAATAATTTAAGTTTATTTGTGACTAAAATTTTTGAACTTGTGACTAACTTTTTATAACTGGCCGCAAAATGGCGACTTAATATTTTTTTTTAATTTCAAGCCCTATAAAAACCAATTGTCTTTCTGCTGAAAACTTTAATGAAACTCGTCATTGATGATTATTTGATTTTTATTTTACCAGTGGATACCTCATGGCCAGAGGAATCTTATGGTGGTATTTCCACTGAAAACAGACTGCGTGCAGCCAGGGACAGAGCTGCCCTTCCCACTGCCCCAAGGGCAGCTAGGGGCCCTGATATAGACTCAACTAAAATTCCTGATGGTCCCCCATACACAGCGTTTCTTGGAAATCTTTCATATGACGTGGATAAAGATGACATATTAGAATTCTTTGGTAACAAAAAGGTATTACGACAAATGTATATGATATGAAGACCGTGGAAAGGGAATTTGTTTTCCTTTGCTGTGGCAATTTTATCTTAACTCTTTATCTTAACTGTAGATTTTTCTTGTACTTAGTATTATACCTGTATGTATTTACATGTAGATGTGTTATAGTTTCCAGTAGCTGATTATCACCTCTGACATTACATCACATCTCCTTTTGATGTACTGGAAGTATGAAAAAGTTGCAAAAATCAAGTGTTCTTGTTGTACCTCAGTTTCTAACAAGCACAAAATTCTGTGGTCAACAAGGATTTAACTGTGCTGTAAAGGACGGTTGGGGAAAGAATAGACACCATTCTTTTAGCCAGAATCAATAGTCTGTAAGCTGGCATGTTTGTAAAACTACTTATTTTTTAACCCATACATACTGTATTCATGACATGAAATGTGATATGCATGTATGCCTTTATAAGCCTGAATTTATTGTGTTGTTCCAGAAAATTTCCATACCCCACCTACAGAGGGGTTTTTTTGTTTGAACCCTCCCCCCCCTCCAAATTAATCTGGAAATTCCAGGTCGTAAAAAATGCTGGTTTTTGAGATGCCCTTTCCAATACCCCCCTTTGGGTTGGTAGGGACCCACACATTCTGCCATGCTTCTACTACTCTGTGGTAGCAGCCACCTTACTGACTTGTTACTTGGCACCCAACATTATTGAGCCAACTGAAAATGTAATTCATTTGACATTAAATACTGGTGCTTGTTAAATCAGTGTCAGTGGTGTTGTACATTTCTATCAGTTATCAGTGACAGTTTCCAGTATCCACTTAACAAATTGGCGTTTAGTTTTTCATGTGTCTGTCCTGTTGTCTACTATTAATTTCATCATAACAGTCATTGTCAAAGTAGCTGTGGACCCAAGAGGCTATAGCTGACTGCATTCGCAGACTACTTTGACAATGTTATTACAAATTTCATTGTCAACAACAGGACAGACATATGAAAAACAGACTTCAACTTATAAACAATGAATTATTGCATGACCTTTTAAATTCCTCTGTCTTTCTGCTTATTGACGATGAAAATTAGCCAATGAGCGCACAAGAATTTCTGTAGTTGTTGTAAAACACTATTTGCAGTATACACTGTACTTGGCCTTTTTGGCAATGATTCTCTTGCACCCTCCCCACCCCTCCTCATTTCTTTAGGTGGACATTACCAACTGTAGTGGTCCTACTGTAAAGTCCACAGATTGTTAATAGTCGATCATTCCCAGCTGCTTTGCACTTCTGGTGATGTCAAATTCCTGTTGCAGCAGTATTTTCAAGAGTATACCTTGGCTCACACTAACCTTCTCCCTACCTCATTACAGATTACTGAAGTCAGACTGCCTCAGGACAATAATGGTCGGCTCAAAGGATTTGGTTATGCAGAATTTGAGGACAAGGAATCACTTTTAGCTGCTCTTAGTCTGAACAATGAGGTGAACTTTTTAATTTGTATAACCTCGTTAACTTTACCTTGGTGAGGCAATTGAAGTAGTTTTTAAAATGTCCATAAGTATGGCTCAATGAGGATTTAAACACATAACACAGTGCCACATGAAAATACTGCTCCACAGCTTTCATTTGAATGGTCACACACTAGGGTTTTATTCACAGAGTCCATAGGAAGCTAAGTTACTCTTAGCTCCTGAATGAAGACGTGTTTCCGGCTGTTATTTTGGGCGGAGTCATGTGACACCCAGAAACATCTGCTTTCAAAGTCTAAGTTGCTCTAGGTCAGAGCAAGGATTTCATTTGTGAGTTTAAGGTTTAAAAATGCGGCTTATTTGTAACCATATATGTAGGTCTCTATCAGGGTCTCTATGAGAGACACTGTTATTTTTACTCCATTTACATTGTTTGCATAAAATGTATCCTGTTGTCTTTGCATGGGATGTACAGCATCTCAAGAACAGAAGAATACGAGTTGATGTTGCAGGACAACAGCATCAAGGTAAAACATCATCACTTGTGTGAAGAACTCTTTGTCTGATGTGAAGTACATATGAAATAATTCATCTACAACCGCAGTTCAAATATGAATTATTTCATATATACTTCACATCATTTCACTCTTCACGGGAAGATATGAACTCAAGTTATTGACCTCGCTCCCAATGTGTGGCTTCATAGCTCAGTTGGGAGAGCATCGCACCGGTATCGCGGAGGTCACGGGTTCGAATCCCGTTGAAGTCCTGATTTTTTTCAGGCTTCTTCTTTCCAATTGCTTAAATTGGAAAATTAACTGCGATGATCATTCTTCACTTTCAAGATCAGAGTTGCTATGGTTGCATAATAAATCGCGCTTTTCGCAGCGAAAGTAAAATGGTTTGGGATTTCATTGCTGTTTATACAACAAAAAGAACATTACATGGCTTGCTTGGAGATACGACATTTCTCTTCTCAAGTTAAATTTTATTTGTGTCTACGCGCGGCCATGTTATATCCTTTGTTTACCGTCTGACTTAAGCAAAAAGAAATGTTTCTGAAGAGCAGTTTCAAGAGCCATCTTAAGGGTGTTCTGAAACCTCTCTGAAGAATTTTTTTAACTTAACAAAAACTTATTTTTGACTCTGATTCTGTCAATAATAACAAAATGGGAGTCTGAGAACTTGGTCTTGTATTATGGTATTATATTCAAAGTTGTGTAAGTATTAGTACTGTAAGTGTCGTAAGTAATCGTATTGTATAACAAGTAGTGCAGGTAACTGTATTAGTATTGTAAGCAGTGCAAGTAGCCGTGTTCGTATTGCAAAAAGAGTGAGCGACAAATAAATTAAACAAGTTACTGTAGAAAAGCTACTATCCACTCTCTCCAAACATGTGCCTGCGAAGCAAGTTTGCTTGAAGTTAAGTTCTTCGCAGCAGTAGCAGCTCCATATGTAAGGACAAATCTCACGCTGAATGTCGGTAGATTTAATTGTCGCAATGAGCGGGGAGAAACGACGATTTCTGGATGCCTTAGACCCAAACCTATAACCAACAACCAACGTTTATAATTTTCGAGTTAAAAGTTTAATTCTAGGTAAGCACGCACTGAATGGTAATTTAACTTCAGTTCGGCGCGGAGTGGACGACGATAAGCAAACATCATGGACATGCGCAGAACATTGACGGAAGTCATTTGTTTTTACCAGTGGCCATTGCAGTCTGTCACCGTCGTCCTTGCTAAAGGTTCCTATTCTCGAGAAGGTTTGTTTGTATACTGAACAATTAAGTCCTGGGGTTTTTCTCGGGAGAACAGTCGAACACATTGTATCACTAGTATACCTTCATGTGTCGAAAAATTAAACAAATTCGAACCAAAGTTTGTTTCTTCAAGCATCCAAGTATTGTACTAACAAATTATACACTGAACTGGATGGAAAGAGGCCTGAGGAACTCTCAATGCAAAACGTTTATTTTGATTTGTTTTCTTTGTTAAAGTAATTGAGATTTGCGGCGGTCACAAGGACTTACAACAAGATTCCGGAAAGGTCTCTCCAAAAAAAAAAAATTCTGCGAGCAAAAAAACAGACTACTTTTAACCAATTTTATTTAGTTTAACATTCTGAAATGTGTACATGAGTTTTTTAAAACTTACATATATTTACAGAATTATGGCACTGATGTCTGGATGGAACAACTGTCTGAACTATCGAGTTTACAGTTTGTACTTTCAATTTACTCAATCGAGTCGTGTTTATCCGCCCTCAAGTAACACGCAGCTCACAAACATTTCTATCCAAACCTCTATGGGTAGACTTTTTGCGTGTAATATCAGTCGTTAGTAACAGACTGGAAAAATGTAAACCAAGAGAAGATATCCTTCGCAGTATTTCTGATGCGTTTAACACTGACAACAAATTAATGTTTAAAACAAACCATGTTTAAGTGGTGTACATGTTTTGATTTCCCAAAAGAAACACCTTGCCCGACCCTTTTCGTGTTATCATCTTACCTTCCATCCAGACTTCTGGCACATTTACACCATAAAACAGTATTTACACCGACAGGTTATAGCTGTATCACGCATTCAGGAAGAATGCCTTTATTAACACAGAGGTTTTTCCTTGAATCCTCAAGGTAATTCATATCAATTTGCTTTAATTTTGGCTTGTTACGCTTAAAGTTCGGTTTAAGAGCTCAGCGTCACATTCTCAAGCATTCCTAGCTAAGAATCGCTCGCCCATGTTTACTCGAGTTCGTAACCGAGTTCAATATTAATATTGCTTCACTGGATTATTTGCGTCCTTTTTGATAGGTCAGAGTGATTACCTTGGTTCCGGTTTTACCACAGTTAGTCAAAAAACCTTTCTATGTGTTGAATATAAGATATTTTAGATGAGTCAATACTGGACGTTGTATTTTCCGTAATGTCATTTAGTACTCCGCTACGATGACATTGGGCCTCACTGTAGCGTGATAGCGTTCAAGTAATTCACACAGTTTGAAAAGCGTAGTTAGATTGAAAATCAATTTGTTTCTGCTCGAATCTGTAAGAGATCTAATAACTTCGTGAGATGCAAATATAACCAGGGAACAGATTTGATGGAATAAGAGTAAGTTTCATCCTCGACTTGAATTTGTTGCTATTTGAAATCTATTTTTGAACAAATTAATTAACAATAATTTCGATGCTTTTCTTTTCACTCCTGGTGCCTTTTGTCGCACGGAAAACT